TTAATCCATTGAACTATCTGGCTGGCCCTTGTTTAGAGAATTTTTAATTAAAGGAGATAGGTTTGATATCTTTTGTTATATGCAAAATTACTTTAAGGTTAAATTTGAAGATATGATATTTATTGGTAGCTAGTATGGTCTATTGAAGGTTGGACTGCATATCTGTCTTTATACCTATCTGTATATCTATATCTTTCTTAAATTTTGAGCTACAAGGAAATCTGTCTCCTTAGTTTGTCTACTTTCCTAGCAAAGAATGAGAGGATGGTGGCACATGCGCGTAATCCCACCACTTGGGAGGTTGGGGCTATGAGTTTGAGGCCAACTTGGGCTACTTAGTGAGTTCAAGACAGCCTGACCTCTACAGCAAGACCCTACACAATATGCAAGATAGGAACCTACAGATGTAGTACCTAGAGATTTCTGATTAAAACTCCACTCTTTGTCTAAGTCATACAGGGAAAATCCTTACATTATCTGAGTTTTAGAATTCTTGCTACTTAAAAATATATCGCAGTAGTTTCAGAGTCATCCAGATTTAAAAATAGGTATACTGCAGTTTCTTTCCCTTTCAACTCTAAAGATTTTAAACTTTATGTCTCATGAAGGCCGCCAGCTTATATAAGCTAGAAGAAGAAAACCACGAGGCGGCCACGTGCCTGGAGGATGTGGTTTACCGAGGCGACCTGCTTCTGGAGAAGATCCAGAGCGCGCTCGCTGACATCGCGCAGTCGCAGCTGAAGACCCGCAGCGGCTCCCACAGCCAGGCGCTCCCGGACTCCTAGCGCCCGGAGGCTGGTGCTGGAGCAAGGACTGTTTTAATGCATTATGAATTCTGCATCATCAGATTAAATACAAGCCTTACCAACAGTTAGGGAAACATACACTATAATACTTGTTACCTTTTTAGCTATTTTATTAATCTTCTATTTTCACTCTTGATAAATAAGCATACAAAATTGTAATTGAACCAGCTTTAAACCATCACTATGCTTTCAGTTTTTTACCTGAATGAAATTATTAAAAGATACTGCATTAATGTTCATAATATAGTTAAACAGACACCCTACAAAGCTCTGTCTTTTTTCTTGCCGTGGATAGAACCTCCAGGCCTAGCAGAAGCTGGGCAAGCTGTTTGCTGCAGTTACACCACCAGCCACAAGTTGTGTCTTATTTCTGCAGTCCTTTCACAATCCACAACATCCCTCGAGCGGGAGGTATGGGATATTTTGGTCTATATTGGTATCCTTCAGATACCCTTAGGAGGTAGCATTTTATGAATATGGAACTTTAAGCAAGTTTCTCAAACTGTTGCTTTTAAGAAGCACAAGGAAGGCTCTTCCCTTGCTAACTTGCTGCCTTCTGCTGCCATGAGCTGTTGCCCCCTCTGCCGTGTGCCACCCTCCCTTGGAGCCAGCTGACTGGACTGAAACTGTACAAACCGTGAGCTGAGTACACCTTCCCTTCCTTAGAAAGGAAAGAAAAGGAAGATGGGTGTATGTAGACGGAGGAAATCACTTACACAGACCTTTTCTTTTCCAAAACGTTGTATCCTAGTTGGCCCCGCCTTTCCCTAAAAAACTAAACTTTTCCTTCCCAAAAATTTAATGAAAAAAAAATAGCAATGAGACAGTTACAAATCAAATTCATAGGACAGTTTCAATAATTAACACATTGCATACTGCCTTCCGAGTGGTTATTTGTTGTACAAGATGCAGACATGATATCCTACTTACAGACAATATTAGAACAAATCCCTCTATTCATTGAATTAAGAGAATGTAGCTATATATCTATCCTATCCACTTTGAATACACAGATACAAAATGGTCATTCATCTGCATCCCTTTCTTTTGTTTAGTTCCATCATTTAAATATTATAGGTGTGTGAACTCAGCAAAATATTCCAAAAGAGTCCAGTAGTCCATAATAGTATTGGGTCTTCCGCTTGACTGGCAGTGTCAGAAGTTGTTGACCTGAGTCCCCTACAGCGCAACATAACAGCATGGCTTTACTTCCTGTACTTTGTTTTTATACTTTTCTGCTGGATGGTTAAGACCAAGATAAAGCAAGACCTATGTAACAAAAATTATAGTTTTTGGCTCTGATAAGGTCAGTGAAATCCCCTCAGGATTTATCCTGAGACCCTGTACCTCAGATTGTAGAACCTTTGTCAGTGTCAGCCATGTGGATGAGTCACGGCCATTGCTTGGCCAATTTGCTCTCCGTGAAAGCCTGAGAGAATGTTTTCTCTCCAAGTGACTCTCCTTTGGCACACTCTACATCATCAATCACTTTCCTTTTTGGCCCATAATCTCCTTGATCAGAAAATTTGGTACACAACTGAGTTACATGTTGTTACAGTACAAGTTCTCATGTCCTGAGTCTTAATTGACCTTGGAAGGCTAGGACCAAAATGTTGGCTTTCCTTGTGGCCCTCCTTTTTCTCTAATTGTTGGTCTGCAAGCTTAGGTTGTTAACACTCCAGAAAAGCTTATTGTTATTACCATACAACTTAGGCTGTTGAGCTTAACCTCACTATCTGTCTGAATATCAAACATAGGCATAACATGGGACAGGTATTTTTCATAAAGTATTGATATGTTAAACTTTAAGGAAACTATCTTGTCTTTAGAGTTCTCATGCTATTGTTCTTTATCATGAACTTTTTTTTTTTTTTTTTGTGGTACTGGGGATTGAACTCAGGACCATGTACTTGCTAGGCAAGCATTTATTCTACTGAGCTATCTCCCCAGCCCTTTATCCTGAACTTTAACAAATTTTATTCTCTTGTTTCTTTTTGTGTTATTAGGGATTGAACCCAGGACCTTTGTCCCAGCCCTTTTTTATTTTGAGGCAGGCTCTTAAGTCACATAAGTTACCCAGGCTAGGTTCAAACTTGTGATCCTTCTGCCTCAGCCTACCCCAGAGTATTGGGATTATAGGCATGTGCCGCTATACTGGTTTGATACTCTTTAACCACTTTTCTCTCTCCTTCTTAATTTGCATGTTATCACAGTGAAATATGTTTCCTGAATCATCAATTCCTTCTCACTGTCTTAAGATACGGTTTTCTGACTCGCTAAGCTCTCAGCCTTGCTTGCTGTGTTCTGCGTAACCAGAGCATCCTTCTGTGGCATCAGTCACTTGTGTGTTGATCTCTGCACTCCCCTCAGCTGTATTGGTCACACTGTGTCAGCATTAGCAGGCGCCCTCATCCAGCTCTCGGGTCTCACCAGTGACCTCTGCCGGGAAGCTGCAGTTCCACTCAGCCGGTGCTTCTAGCTCCTCCAGTGCTTTGTTCATAATGTCCTGAGCTACTCTTGCCACAGTCTGCTGTGTAGTGTTTAAGTTTCTGGACAACCCTAAACAGCAGGGCACTGGGAACCAAAGGCAAGAGGATCACGTGTTTGGTCCCAACCTGGGCAACTTAGTGATTTTGTAAGACTCAAAACAAAAAATTTTAAAAAGCACTGAGGGTGTAGTTAAGTGTAAAGGTCCTGGATTCAACGCTCAGTACCCCCAAACAAACTAACAAAAAGAATAGTAGAACATTTGTGTATTGTTTCCATCATAAACTTCTGCAGTTCTCGAAAAATACTATGTTTCAAAGTTCAGGAGCACCAGCTTTAGCTATAAAAGTTGCCACAATTTATTGGCAAGGCTCAAATTTTTAAACTTATACAATTTTTTAACAAGTTGAACTTTAGTAACATTTTGCTATTATAGACATTTGGCATGAATTCATACCTTTCTTTGGAGTAATTATTGGAGGAGGGCACATTGGACAGGGCTGTTTCTAGAAGCATAGACATTCTAAAAAAAGGATCTAGGGAGGTACTGAAGAGAAGGAAAAGTCATTGTCAACTAGATTCAAGGAAGGCTTAATCTAGAGAAATCCCACTCAGGACGGGGAACTTTTTCCTCCATGGTTGCTGAAGTTGGGATCCCAACTCAGTAAAACAAATCCCTGTTGCTTTTTAAAAATTCTCCACTCGTGGCCTGGCTTGGGGGTGGGTAGCCATTGTTGATAGCAGCGAGCAGCATCTCCAGGTAGGGAAAGTTTCTGCTTGTGGCAGGAGGACTGAGCCCCAGAGAACCAGAAGCAGGAGCTGGGGCAAGCCACTGCTTAGAGCTGTTGATGAGCCCTCTGCCTGCAGGCTACGTGCGCGTGGCTGTACTCTAAACAGCCTATGAAGGCTGAGAGATGAAGGAGGCCAGAGGCAGCCAGCCGGGCTGTGCTGGCTCTACACACGGTGGTGTACGGGAGAGGTCCCAGTGAGCTTAGGGCAGTCCCAGTCACCTTGCAGGGCAGTGTTTGGAACGGGAGGCCTGAACCCAACAAAGGTGATTTGCCTGCTCAAAGAAAAATTTAAAATGTATATAGGCAAAGGGCCAGCCAAATAGCTCAGTGGATTAAAGCACCTGCAAGCAGTTGCTGGTTTGATCCCAGACCTGCTGTGCCGGCCCTGCCCCCAGGCATGCTGAGACTGCAATAGAGACTGGATGTGGTGACTTGGGTCTGTAATCCCACCTCTTGGGAGGCTGTAAACAGGCAGATCATTACAAGTCCATCTAGTAGTGAGACCCTGAACACCCTGTAGGCCCTTCCCTAAAATATAAAACAATAAAATGTGTATAGGCTAAAACAAGGTCAGGAATATAATCCCAAATTACTTGGCATATGAATCACTGAGAAAATCTCAAAATTAGCAAGCATAGGAAAAGACAGCTGGCCAGTCCCAAAGACCCACATTGTGCACAGACTTGGTTTTGGTTTTCTATTTGGGACAGTCTCCCTGTGTAGCAGTTCAGGCTGGTCTCTCTCAGAACATCCTCTATAGGAAAATAATGATTAAAAGACAAGCGTATTTCTCACCAGAAACTGAAGGTCCAGAAATCAGAAGATAGGGTGTGTGTTAGGCAGCACTGGTCCCAGTAGTTAACCTGAAGTAAACTCAGGGCTTAAGGGAGTTAACATCCCAAAGGGCATAGTAATTAAGGAAACCACCATCAGGACCTAATTGTATGCAAGGGGACAAAGAACTGGTCTTTAACTTAATCAGAGAAAGCTGGAAGAAGTGGACTGCAGCCCAAGCAGCTTGCTTTCTGCTTGTGGAAAGGCTCCCTGCACCACAGAGCACCCCTGCTTCCTGTCAGGCACGCCAGTCCCCAAAACTATAAAAGGCCAATGAATCTGAACACCCAGGGTTTTACCCCTCCTCAACAAATGGGGCACTCTTTTATTCTTTTAAATGCAAACACATCTGGCCTCTCCCCACCACTTGCTGTTTGCTGCTTCGTTGGCTTCCAATCATGGCTGCCCCAAAACAGGGACTCAGTAGCTAGAGGGGGCTCACTGTTGTAGTCAGGAATAAGCTAATGCGTGGGGGGGGGTAAGGAGAGAGAGAGAGAGAGAGAGAGAGAGAGAGAGAGAGAGAGAGAACAGAGACATAGCTCAGTAGAATAAGCACTTGCTTGGCAAGTGCAAGGTCCTGAGTTCAATCCCTGGTTCCACAAAAAAAAAAAAAAAAAAAAAAAAGACAGGAAGAAAAGAAAGAAAGAAAGAAAATCAAAACAACTGTCAGCTCAGAAACATCCAGGAAAAAATACTCTTCAGGAATAAAGGTGAAATCAAGACATGTTTTTCAGAAGAAGGAAAAGCAGCAGAATTCATTGCCAGCGGACCTGCCCTAGAACAACTGTGCAAAGCAGCTTTTCAGGTAGAAGGGACGTGGAACAGCAGGAGTAGCAGGCAGGAAGAGCGCATGACTTCTTGATGGCTGACAAAAAAAATTAGCGTTCTTTCATATGACTGTTGGTCTACGTAAAGGCAGGAGACTGATGCTATTCTAAATCTAAGACTTCTGTATACCACCTTAATTCACTTCCTGGCGTTGAGGATTGAACCTAGCGCCTAGCACAGCCTACCCCTGAGCACGTATTTTTTAAATGGTAAAAAATATTAAAGCTAATGGGTTATATTTAATCCTTAGAGCAATGACTTTTAAAAATACAAAGATTTATATTTCAAAAGGACTATGCCAGGCGTGGTAGTGCATACCTGTTCCAGCACTGGGGAGGCTGAGGCAGGAGGATCATTGTGAGCTCAAGGCCAGCCTGGGCCACAAAGTGAGTTCAAGGCCAGCCTCAAGTGGGTAATGAGACCTTGTCTCAGAAAGACAAAAACAAAACAAAACAAAACAAAACAAAGAAACAAAACAGGGCTGGGGATAAGTGGGCCTAAGCCCCTGCCTGGCAAGCATAAGGTCCTGAGTTTGATCCCCAGTACCCCCCCACAAAAAGACCTAGTAACTCAGAAGACAGTAGGAAATGAATACAGAAAAAATGAGAACTAGACAAGCGACAAAATAACTAAATTCTGTTCCAACATACCTATACTTAGGTTAAACTTTAGTGTTGTAAATCTACAAAGTAGTCAGTACCTGTGGTTTCCTTTTCTTTCTTTCTTTCTTCTTCTTCTTGTTCTTCTTCTTCTTCTTG